ACCAGTCTAGGTGAAAAACAATTCTGAATTCAAAACCAAAGGGAAACGATTTCTTTTCCTTTCTGAAGTAACATTCATGGCAGTTCACAATTTAGATATAAAGGAAGTTGTGGAGAACCACATTGCTTACATAATGAAGAGATATTCTTTTTTAGTCTTGTAGAAAAGTACCTTTTGATATTATTTTATTATTATACCTGTCTCATTTCCGACTATTATTTTCTTCTCTTTAAGTAGTCAATGACAGTAAAGTAAGGGTGGAATTGACCATGTGCATTAAGTCAGTAAATATTTGTTACCTTTTCCTTATCATAATCCATAAGATTGGCCTTGTCTGAACAAATAACCTCCAGGTGTAAAATTATTTTTAAATTGAGAACACATTTCAATCATTATGGTGATTTTAAATTTATTGCTTACTATAACTATTTTTTGGCTGATTTAGTCTTTGAACTTCTTCAGGCCTATAATATCCCTAAAATAATTTGACACTGATTAAGGATATTATCCAGGCAGCAGAAAGTCTGTTCATTTCTGAATTACTGTGACAAAAATTCACCATTCAAATTTTACATATTTTTAAGTTGACATAAATATCTGCAATTTTGTGGGTGCATGGTCAAGTGGCTAGACCATTAGCATTCTGACTATGAAATACCGGTTCTAATTTCACCACAGTTGATTTGTCAAGAAGGTAACTTCTTGATAATATCTACCTCAGGAGATAATCCCAGTATGTGCTACCATTGGAAAGTGCCTGAAAACCATACCATGGGTTGACTCAAGCCTTGTGATTGAAATTGGGTATACGAGAATGTTCAGAAGCCATCAATGGTTCTGCTAGAGCTTGAGTGTACTGCTTTTGTTCAAACTAGTGATCATGCCAATTTATATGCTCTCTCACAGAAACTGTAACTAAAGTCTTCTTAGCATAGTTGCAGTATCAACCTCAAGTTGATTCTGTGGGTGTTCAAAAAACACAAATGTACTTGAGCAGGTGTCTGCAATGGGAATTAACTAACTACCCTAGAAGATGGACATACTTGGAAGTAAGCAACCAGCCATATTATTTCCAATTTTGGTATTTTTCAAGGATTTTCTTTAAGATTTGTATAAATTCTAACTACAGCTAACAGGATTAATAATTGTATAAATCTATTAGAATTCTAAATTACTAATATTCTGTTCCAAGGATGTGTAGATAGTCTTGGTGCTGAAAGTAGAATCGGCAAGCAGAGTTCAAATTCTTGTCTACTGTGTTGCATTCACTTTCACACAAGTCACTTTGTCTTTTCTCTCTTAGCTATGGGTTCAATATCAGGGTAGACTGGGTTCCCGAGACTTGGGTGGCAATCACTCTAAAAGGAGGAGAACTCTGAATTCAATATAGTGGAGAAAGCAACAGAAGACCACTCTCTGATCTTTCCCGAGTCATGGCAATTAACAGATAATAAAACTGTTGAACCTGCCTGCCTTGAAAATCAGCATTTAAAATCCTGACTTTTGTCTGAGCTCAAATACAAAATATTTTAAGTGCAGTACTAGATTGACAGCTAAGTCTCATCATTTTACAATTGAAATGACAAGATGTCAATGTAAGTTCTATGCTAACACCTTTTTTTCTCACACTTCCAGCTTCTTGTTTTCCAGTCAACTTTGATCTTCAAAAATTTCAACAATGTCAATTGTTATCTTCTGTCTAAATTGCAGTTTTTATTCTTCCCTTTCCTTAAATATTTTTTCTTTTCCTTATATCTTTCACACTCCATAACCCCTTATGTCTTAGTGGCTTAATTATCTAACTTGGGGTGAAATGATTCAAATAAAAAAATTCTATTCCAAAAGCAGAATAATAAACAAATGTCATTTATCAGTGTCATCATTTTTAGGATAAAATTTTGGTTACAATATATTTAAATGCAATAAGTTCAGCTTTAATATAAAATAGCCAATAGACATGATGTCTAAGTGTTGTTAGATTTGTTAGCATCAGTTCTGAAAAATTACATTATTTTGAAGTCTATAAATCAATTGTTTATAAATGTTCACTTTCAATAAACATTTAACCTCTAAAGATGACTTAGAAACTATTTTTTATTTCTGGATCTTATTCAACTAAAGCACTTATCTGAACATGTTTTATCAAAACATTTTAATTTAATGTGTTTGCTGTAATTTCAATGTCTAATTTGTTCATTTTATCAAATCTTAATACATATACATTGTTAGTTTTTATTTATAAACACTACAATGCTATAAATCTGTACTATAACACCTTTTGCTGCCACCTACACCCATTGGTGTAACCATGTTTTAGTGGTTTGGTTCTCATTTCACCCTAAGTTGGGCAATAAAGCCACTAAGACACAAATGGTTATGAGGTGTGAAAGATATAAGGAAAAGAAAATATATTTAAGGAAAATTGATCTATCATAACAGGCAGGTGATATGTTTTATGTTTTCACTCAGACAGTGACCAGACCCAAGGATGGAAAATAGCATGTCTCTTTAAGAATTTTGGTAAACAAATATTTTCATTAACAAAAAAACTGGGAAATAATTTTTATCTATGGCACAGAAGGTTAAAATGAGAAGGTGATTTATTTTGTTTTTGCTGAACAGGTGGGTCCAGAAAAGGAGTCAGAGAATTGAAATTAATGAGGAGAATAAATCATGCCCTTTCTCCTACGCACTATAAAAATTAAATTTGTCACAGTTATGCCAGCCCTGATAAGTGGGCAGAGTTAGAATACCGAGAAGGAAGGGGCAGAATTTTGCCTTGCCTGTGTGGAGTAGTGGTGCAAGATGTGAAGTGAAGCAGGTTGGAGTCAAGGAAAGAGCAATTGAGTATAAATAATTGTGGGTCAGAAAGCAGTTATTTGTAACTATTGCAGAGTGTTAACTTTTAACACATTATTATTGATTACTTAGTGTTTTGTAATTATATGATCTTAGATCACTCTGAGTTTTTTTTTTTTTTTTTTTTACAAGCCAGCAGGCATATGTTTGTGGTCAGTCTGGACTCTCCTGCCAATTATGATATATAAAGGCCTAACAAATTCGGTTCATATAGGAATTTTAGGGGTAGGGGTGTCATTTACTTTTTTTTTTATTTACAGAATTTTGTTTATTGGATAACAATACCCTAGCATTCTATTGAACTTTTTGTTTGTTGAGGTATGCTTCAGTTTATTAATTTAATAATTAGTTACAAATTAAAAAAAACAAAAAAAAAACTACTGTACATGTATTCAAGTTTAAAAATTCATCAACATTTTCTATTGCTATTTGTAAAAATTCCTCTATAAAAATAGTCCATGTATATGTATTAATATGGAGGAAATGAAGATTTTCAATAATATATATTTGGAATGCATCATTTGAGTCAGACAATCTTGGAAAGGGAGAGGATGATATTCTGTTAATTTGGTAAAAAGGGTGCATTGGGCAAAAAAGGTTGAGAATCAATGGTGTATATACTTAGATATTTTCTAGCATTGACAGTAGTATGAGAACTGTGTACCCTTTAGGATTGATTAAAAAGTAAGTCAGTATTTTGAGAATATTACCAAGGCTAGAGAATAAAATAATTGAAATGCGAATATTACATCCAAGACAAGTACATCAGTTTGAATAAACAAGTGAATAATGGTATTATGAATTCTGAAAATAATGTTCTTATAACCAATCTAACATTGCCCCAATTATGTAAATGGTTTTTGTATGTAAGGCTTAAAGTTACAAGCCACAAAATTATTAGAATGCAGTACATAACATTATTCACTTATTAACAATGTAAAACTGGTCCTCACATTATTCTATACAATTGCCTCTGTTACTTTTTTTCTGGATTCAGAACAAAAAATTATTTTCTCAGTGTTGTGAATCTTGTTTTTAACACCCTGACAAATCGAAAAGAATCCACTGTAAAGTAGGTTAGTTAAGGAAAGAACAAAGGCTGAAGATAATCCTTTTTTTTTTTTTTTTGTCAAGCTTACAGCTCCAAATCTAAATTTATTTTTCTTGGGTGATTTTTACAAATAAAACAAGTAAATAAAAGAAAAACAAAAGCAAACTCATCTAAAACAATGAAAATAATATTTAAAACTGCGATACACAATATATTATTTACAAATTTATCTTAAATATTAAAATAAAGCAAAATAACTTCTACAAAGATGAACTGACAACATATTTCATTCTTAAACATATGAATGCATATAATTTTTTGGTACTTACAAAAGATTAAGATAAAGACACTATGATGGGAAGGGGGTGAAAATGGGAAGCTGTCCCCAGAAACTTGTAAGTACATTTTCAAATAAATTTCTTTATAAAAATATTTGAAAAACCTTCAGTCTTACATAAATAAGAAAATTCTTAAAAATCAATATCACCAGTATAAGTCATCTTGATTTCTCGATAAAAAAAAAAACTACTTTCTTGATAGAAGTTTATTATATGAAATTTAATAAACTATATTACTTCTACTCTCTATATATAATGTGTGTGTAAAATCTATGACCAAGTAGAAAAAGTTTTCACTAGATAATCCACAGTAAATTTGCATCCCGGTTCTTATGTTTCACCTTTTTTGGTAGATTTTCCATTTTCACAATGTAGGATATTTCTTGACAAAAGTGATGTAAACATAAACTTCATCCAATGTAGTTCAGAAGGACAAAGCACTTTCCACTTTGTCATACTTCTTTTCTTTAAAATTGTTCTTGATATATAAAAAAACTTTTATATTTTTTTCCAGTGTGTGTGTGTATATATATATAATCTCATTAATGCATGTTTCATTAAATAATATGGACAAGTTTTGTCTATTTATTTTAAGTAAGTTCCTTTCATATTGTCTGATAACTTGTCTATATTATTTAATGAAACATGCATTAATGAAAAATTGCTGTCTAAATATATATATCTAAATCACCTAATTTAAAATTTTCTTTTCTCATTTAGTAAAATTGCTGATATTTTCTTGTCTTTTGTAGTTGACTTCCATTATGGTTTGAATCGCTTTAACCGGCGTACTGCCCGCGACGACCTCCCAGTGGCCAAGGAAATTCAGGATGAGGAAGAGAAGCGCCACCAGGAGGAGCGGATGCGGCAGCTAACCCTTTTACATCAGAGGTCAGTTTCTTAACATTACTTGCAAAACACGTTTTCAAATTGTCTTTAAGCTTTCTCCTTCAATATAGTAATTACCTAATATATTGGGTTGTCCAGAAAGTTCATGCTGATTTTTAAAGGAAATTGAAATACAAAACAAAATTATGACATTTAAATATTTATTCAACTATGAACCATTTTGTTGCTCAAACTTTTTCCATTTTTCCTTCAACAAAGATTCCATCTTCCCAGGATTTTGTTGGTTTCTTGGCAAAGAACTCATTAAGGTGTCTTGTTTTTTATGTCATCCATAGGATTCTAGTGAATATGGCGGATGAGAGTAACACATCCCAGCCAAGCTGCAATATTTTTTGCCAGGTTGGCAAAGAAACGTGAAGTCTGGCACTATCCTGATAGAGAACAACACCTTTCCTGTTTGCCAATTCTGGGCATTTTTCTTGAATTGCTGCCTTTAATTCGTCTAGTTGCAAGTAGTACGTTTCCGAATCAATTGACTGGTTATTTGGCAGAAGCTCATAGCATAGGAATTCCTTTCCAATCCCACCAGATGCACACCATGACTTTGGATGAAGACCTGTTTTTAAGTTGACTAATGTCACTTATCCCAGGATCTTTTTTGCTGGACATTGTTCTGAATGATTTATTTCTCATCACCTGTCACAATTTGCTTTAAAAAGGGGTGCATTTTCATTGCATTTATACAGCAAATCATAGATGAAATGCAATCCAAAAGATTCTTTTCCCTCAGATCATATGGTGCTCAAACATTGTAGTGATTTGAGTACCGAAACTTCACTAAGTGCTCATGGATGGTGGATTTTGATAAATTTAGTGTTTCTACCAATTTGCATGCTGTATAATTTGGTTTATTCAATGTTTTGATTTGGTTGTCATCTGTAGTGGGGGTCTACCTGAGCATTTTTCATCAATAAGGTTACAATCACCAACTCTAAACTTAGCGAACCACCTTCATACAGTTCTGTCAACTAAAGCACCTTCACTGGACACAGCAGATATTGTTTTTGCCTTCACAGTTAAAAAAAAAAAAAAGCATCGTCTAAGATGCACCTTATAATCTTCCATTTTCATCAGGATGCAAAATTTACACAAATTAAGTAATTTTAAACTTTCTCAAGAGATAGTTTGAAGTGTGCTCTACTCATAAATGTAAGTAAGCCTATTATATCTATTAATTAATTTGACATGTTCTAACATGTTGAAATATAAATGACTAAAAATCAGCATGAGCAACCCAATATTTTTATTTATCAGTCAGACATTTTTCATCTTTTTATGAAAACTTACTTCCCTTGTAAGTACTTGCCTTCATCAAGGCATATTCAATATACTAAGAATGGTAAACTCAGTGTTTGGTTTTATCATTATTGATTTTCCCGCAAGATTGAACTTTCATGCCTACAAAAAATGGAGTATTAAAAGGATGGTTTTTCCGTTGACACTGCTATTAATTTAACTACCTTCCACTCCTCTGCAACTTTTATTGCTTTAAAAAGCAATGATTTTTTTTTCTTTTTAATCAATTCACCCCAAGCAAGGTGATAATGCCACTAATATGCAAGGGGCTACTGGGAATGAAAGAGGATGAAAAAACTTTAGAAGGAACTGGAAATCCAATCCTAAACAGGAAACAAAGGATAACCCTCAACTCCTGTTCAAAAGATGGGATGATTGTGAACCTGACATTAGAGAAACCTATCTACTCCTATAATTGTAATAAAGCCTTAACAACAAAACATTGACTAATTGCCAATTAATTCAAACTTTATAAAATGATAATTAGGATTTCATATAGTTGTTTCATATATTTTAATAATTAAGTAAATGTTTCTAAATTTATGAATAAAAAAAATTTTCATATTTATTTCTTTATAAAATGCTAAATGATAAATATTACACTGTTTTTAGAATGTGGTAAATATAAAATTATTCTTGTACATAATCTAATAGTGTTTAATATTTTCTCAAGAACAAAAAAATGTATAAATTCTCTTTTGTCATGTTTAGATTTTATTACAGTTCTTTTTACATTGCTTTTTACGACAATAAAGATTGATGAGGAGTGGAGGTAATTAAAATAATAGTGGTGTCAATTGCAAAAAAAAAAAAACATCCTTTTAACACACCATTTTTTGCAGGCATGAATATCTAAGTTTGCCAATTTTTTTCTTATCAATATGACTGGACAAATGTATTTGTAAAATAATTACAATATCAACCTGACTATACCATTGAAACTATGCTTTACAGAAAGAGGAGGGTCTTACACAGTGAAAGACAAAGGAACTTAATGTATTTCATGTATTTTTGCTATGTATGAACATATGAACATGTAAAATAAACAAAAAAAGACTGAGATATATTTTCACATTAATCTTTGCCTTCTCTCTATTGCATATCTATCTTCATAGAGCATTGGATTCAAAATTGAAAGATCTATCTGGATTGTGACATTCAATAATTGTTTATCAACATTAACTCTAAAATATTCAGCTACATTGTAAAACTGCTATAACCAAAAATTTTTGCAAATTATAAGTCTAACATGAAAGAAATTCAATGAGATTTGTAGCTATATATAATTAAGGAACAATAATCAAATATTTATTTATTTAAGGGTTAATTTTAAAATGTAACCTTGTTCCTAAATATCTTGTTAACTGCAGTCGTACAATGTACGCATACAGTAAAACAAGTTATTGATCTCTTTTGAATGAGAAAAGCACTTTTGCTGTTATATCTTTTAAGTGATATGTTCCTTCAGGACATAGGTGATTATAACTCTGTACAACTTCCTTTCTTTTTAATATCTGTATACTATGTATTGCCATGATTTTTTTTTTATTGTGAAATATGGTGAAATAAAACATGTTGCTTTTTTCATGGATAGGTTGCCAACCAAGGCAAGACAACCTTATCTGCTCTATTTTACCCACAGCTAGGAGAGATAGTTATGTCTTTTCCAAGGGTATTAATGTGAAAATAAATACATTGTCTCAGTTGGAATTTAAACTTGATTATTGTGGGGAAAATTGTGAAAATGGCCTACCTTGGAAACGCCTGCGAATCTGTGCGATGTGCATATTCCGGTTTGCTCAACAGTAAAAAGAACCAAAATGGCAGCGCCTATGTTTTAAGCCAGATGGTCTCGGACAGTTAGTGCAAAATCTCGTTGTCTCGTCATTCGCATGCAAATCGTGGTTGGTCCTCGGCTGTATAAAGCAGGCACGTTTTTGTTTCTGATCACTGGGTTTTTTGCTTGTGCGAAGGTTGGACGTGTGTCACTGTTTTGTCGGTTACCCTCCTCGTGGGTTTTTTCCTATCTGCTACTATCAGTTGAGTCATTGTGTTACCACCACAATTATATGTATTTAGAGATTCTTGATAAAATACAATGCTATTGGTCCTGATCTGGCATTTAAGTTTCAGTTACTTTCTTTCCAAACATAGCTTCTCTGTGTTTTTTCTATATTTTCAGGCTAAGCTTTCCTTCTTGGTACCTTAACTTTAAGAATTTAAGCACAATACTAGATTGGCAGCTAAGTTTCATCATTTTACTGTTGAAATTGCTAAATGTAACCCTATGTTCTATGTTAACAGTTTCTCCTCACACTGTTCTTACTTATGGAACCCTTTTGGCTTATTGCTTTCCAGTCAACTTAAATCTTCAAAAATTTAAATTTTGATCATTATCTTTTGTCCTAATTCTTGTTCTTTTATTCTTCTTGTCATGAAGTGTAATTTCCTTTCGTATTTTATCAGTCCAATGGTAATAGTTCATTACATACTAAGAGATGTTCTACTTTTGCTGATTATGCATTTATACAGTCTGTGCCTTAACTATACTAATTAGGCAGTAATTTATATATCACTAATGTTCTGTCTGCCTAATAATTTTTTCTTTTTCTCATTCTCTCACACTTATTAACCTGTTGCATTTGAGTAGCTTTATTGTTTTGGTTAGGGTGAAATGATTTAAAAAAAAAAAAAAAAAAAAAAAAAAAAAAAAATTCACTGATTTCATTTTCAATACTAGTAGTAATATTCATAATCTTTTTAAAGTTACAAAAGGACTAAAACTAATAAAAAATTGTACATTCTCTCTATATACATTTTTTTCTACAATGTCACTTTTAGGCATATTTTTATAATTTATATACTAAAACACCATACAAATGATGTATACAGATAAAATACATCTGCCTATATTTCTAAGTTGAGGTATTGTAACTATTTACATTGTTCAAACTGTTGTTCTCATCTTTATTGTTATATTTACAATATTTCGGCCATGGTATACTCTGACTGTCTTCAGATGATATATGTTGGAATGTCAAACCAAACACTTTTAGTCCACAGGGTTAGATTGTTTTTAGTCCCTGTGGACTAAATATGGTTTCAGTTTGAAATTCCAATCTATATTATAAGAATGCCAGAGCATACAATAGCCAAAAAAATATTGTGAATATGATAATAAAGATGAGGGACAACAATGTAAATAGTGTAAATAAAAGTACACATGCACAGATTAAGCATTTCATAAGGATGTCATTCATGGTATCCAACTTATTAAGAAATGTCTAAACTATCATCTGCATACAGCCATTTTCTCAGATTAATGATTAAAAATGGCTTCAAATGACTGACCTTTAAATCTTAAAGAAGGTAATCCTTTATCAGATCTTATTTACTAGCACTACAAAATCACAAAGTGCTTTATCAAATAACAAAATCCACATTACTTGAATGATTCTAACAGCAGCAACAACAAAAATGGATGTACATGTAACTAGAGAGAAAATAACGACATAAGCTGTTAAATTTTCACACTACCAAAAATAAAAGGTTTGGAAGGAAAATTCCATCAGTATTAGAGAAATAGCATTTACTTGACTTGAGGGGTTTAATTTTATAAAAAAAAATGTTTTAATAAAAATATTTTACAAATTTCAGCTAATAGTAACAATAAGTGTTCAGTCAATGAATGTCAAATGTTTCCTGTATGGAAACTTTTTAATTGTTACTATTGTGTGGTTGTAATAACAAAAAAGTACATTTTTATACTAAAAATTATAGTATTACTGGTTTTGAATAATGAGTTATAAGACCATTGTTAATTAGTAATAATAGTTATCCCCATGTTATTATCATTTGTAGAATTTCTTTGTTGTGTTCACAAAAAAGTAATTATTTCTTCCTGAGAGGCTAACTTAAACTATTTGGATTCAATTTAAATAATTCTTTCTTTTGTGAATTATTGCAGACAATTACTTTTTAGCTGTGAAATCCAATATCCAAACATTTAATAGTGTTTCTGCTTGATTCATCTGATAAAATTATAAGTGGCCTTGTTCAAAGTTTAAAATATTTAAATATTCAGGGTTATAATGCCCTGTGAAGTGATATTAGGAACATTTTCAATAATTTGCTTAATTTGATCTCTCTCTCTCTCATATATATATATATATATATATATATATATATATATATATATATATATATATATATATATATATAATATGAGAAAATGTAAGTATGATTGCAGGTTGCAAAAGTATCCTATTAAAGAAAAAAATGATTCGTTCAATATCTTTTTAACTCAAATTTAAATTTTACACAAGCCTGCCATTCATCAATGTATTGAAAATTGATTGCTGCCACATTTGGTCTGGTACTTCTATGTATTTAGATATTCTACATAAAATACAAAAGAAGAATTTGCAATGTTATTGTTCCTGACCTGGCATCTCTGCTTTTCCAGTCACTTTCTCACTGCCATAATATTATTTCCTGCACTTTTTCTATAACAATTTTCTTGGTAATTGTTCTGGTGAGATTTCCACTTTGGTACCTAGACATTATGAATTTAAGCACAGTACTAGATTGCCAGTTAGGGCTCCTCATTATTTTTCTACAATGTCACTTTTAGGCATATTTTTATAATTTATATACTAAAACACCATACAAATGATGTATACAGATAAAATACATCTGCCTATATTTCTAAGTTGAGGTATTGTAACTATTTACATTGTTCAAACTGTTGTTCTCATCTTTATTGTTATATTTACAATATTTCGGCCATGGTATACTCTGACTGTCTTCAGATGATATATGTTGGAATGTCAAACCAAACACTTTTAGTCCACAGGGTTAGATTGTTTAGTCCCCTGTGGACTAAATATGGTTTCAGTTTGAAATTCCAATCTATATTATAAGAATGCCAGAGCATACAATAGCCAAAATATTGTGAATATGATAATAAAGATGAGGACAACAATGTAAATAGTGTAAATAAAAGTACACATGCACAGATTAAGCATTTCATAAGGATGTCATTCATGGTATCCAACTTATTAAGAAATGTCTAAACTATCATCTGCATACAGCCATTTTCTCAGATTAATGATTAAAAATGGCTTCAAATGACTGACCTTTAAATCTTAAAGAAGGTAATCCTTTATCAGATCTTATTTACTAGCACTACAAAATCACAAAGTGCTTTATCAAATAACAAAATCCACATTACTTGAATGATTCTAACAGCAGCAACAACAAAAATGGATGTACATGTAACTAGAGAGAAAATAACGACATAAGCTGTTAAATTTTCACACTACCAAAAATAAAAGGTTTGGAAGGAAAATTCCATCAGTATTAGAGAAATAGCATTTACTTGACTTGAGGGGTTTAATTTTATAAAAAAAAATGTTTTAATAAAAATATTTTACAAATTTCAGCTAATAGTAACAATAAGTGTTCAGTCAATGAATGTCAAATGTTTCCTGTATGGAAACTTTTTTAATTGTTACTATTGTGTGGTTGTAGTAACAAAAGTACATTTTTATACTAAAAATTATAGTATTACTGGTTTTGAATAATGAGTTATAAGACCATTGTTAATTAGTAATAATAGTTATCCCCATGTTATTATCATTTGTAGAATTTCTTTGTTGTGTTCACAAAAAAGTAATTATTTCTTCCTGAGAGGCTAACTTAAACTATTTGGATTCAATTTAAATAATTCTTTCTTTTGTGAATTATTGCAGACAATTACTTTTTAGCTGTGAAATCCAATATCCAAACATTTAATAGTGTTTCTGCTTGATTCATCTGATAAAATTATAAGTGGCCTTGTTCAAAGTTTAAAATATTTAAATATTCAGGGTTATAATGCCCTGTGAAGTATTAGGAACATTTTCAATAATTTGCTTAATTTGATCTCTCTCTCTCTCTCATATATATATATATATATATATATATATATATATAATATGAGAGTGTGTGTGTGTAAGTATGATTGCAGGTTTGCAAAAGTATCCTATTAAAGAAAAAAATGATTCGTTCAATATCTTTTAACTCAAATTTAAAATTTTACACAAGCCTGCCATTCATCAATGTATTGAAAATTGATTGCTGCCACATTTGGTCTGGTACTTCTATGTATTTAGATATTCTACATAAAATACAAAGAAGAATTTGCAATGTTATTGTTCCTGACCTGGCATCTCTGCTTCAGTCACTTTCTCACTGCCATAATATTATTTCACTGCACTTTTTCTATAACAATTTTCTTGGTAATTGTTCTGGTGAGATTTCCACTTTGGTACCTAGACATTATGAATTTAAGCACAGTACTAGATTGCCAGTTAGGGCTCCTCATTATGCAGTTGAAATGGCTAGATGTACCATGAGTTCTATGCTGACAGTTTCTTCTCTCGCACTTCTCACTTGTGGAACTATCTTCCGGCTTCTTGCTTTCCAGTCAACTTTGATCTCTAAAAATTTAAATGCAATGTCACTTGTTATCTTCTGTCTTAATTCCTGATCTTTTATTGTTCTTTCTCTTTATTAATATTTGTTTATTTTTTTCTCATATTCTCTCAAAATCATTAACCTTTTGCATTTGAGTGATTTTATTGCATTACTTCGGGTGAAATGATTATGAAAGTGCCATACTCATTCAAATGTTAAATGTGTCTGAAAATGACTTTTTTTTCTGTATATTTATCAGTTTAAAAGAAAATAGTTCAATATCTCATTTTGTGTGACAAAAGTGATATTCTCTCATATTGTTTGCTAATTTTTCATAGATCCCAAGAGGATGAGAAAGTGGCTCAGAAGGTTTACCAAGAGATTTTAATGGAAGAAGAGAGTCAGAAAAAGAAAGCCGAGTTAGATGATGAGGTAAGATTGAAGATACAATTTGTTTTTATTACTTTTCTTATACAGTTTTTTTGTTTGGTGTCCTTCCAGGACATGTGCGATCATTGTTCTTCACAAATTCCTATCCTTTTTAGTTTTAAGCAGTGTTTGTCCTTCTCAGTCCCCTTTCTGCCATTCATTTACGCAAGCTTGTTAGGTAGGTTATTCAATGTTTTCCTCTTGCCTTTAGCATGTTCTGTGAGTATCAAATTCTCCAAGTCCTTTTTCCTCAGTATGTGTCCCACAAATTTCAACTCTTTCTGATTCTAAATAAAAATATCCCTTTTTTTCCTTAAAACTTCCTCATTACTTACATGTTCCATCCATAGTATTTTCAGCATCCATAAAATATACTGACATGCAATCATTGTAATCGGATAAGATCATATGGTTCAATTTTAGATTTTTAAAATATGTTGACAGAATATTCATTACCACACAGCTCTTAATCCTTGGATATAGGGTAAGTATAATTGCTGAATACATTTACATATTTCTATAGATCAAAACAACAATTAGTATAGCTGTTTAGGAGGAGAAAGGAGTTGTGTATGTTTTCTTAGAACTGAAGAAGTGTTATCTGGAGTATTTGAATCCAATAACAATGAAATGGTTTACAATGAAGACTATCCTGATAGGGATTTCAAGTCAGTATGATGAAAGTAATGGTAATAGAAATGACAATCATGAGAATATAACCCAAATAATTAAATGAACATCGGGTGTGTTCTTGGTAATGCTTTTTACAAACCCTTTACTGCTGTACACTGCTTATTTGTTCTTTGGCTTGGGGAAAGGTAGTTTTTGCTAACAAGAAACAATATTGTAAGCATAAAAACACATTTATAATGACTAAATACATTATTTGAACAACCTGTTTAAATGCAATAAAAAAAATAACTGCTCAGTTTGAATGGTCTTAGTTATGAACTTTCTCAAATGGTTAATCATAATGGTTTCTTTCTGCAAAGGGTGATGCAACTTCAGATCCTGGGGGTGAAAGAACTTAGGTTACACTGGTTGTAGATAGGCTAATCTTAGATTCTTTAAGTATGGACTTTATAAAAGTTGGTAATAACAAATCCATACTTAAAGTAAGATTAGTCTCCCTACAACCACAACCACTGTAAACTAAATTCTCTTTCACTCCCACACAAAACATCACCCACCAATCAGCAACATGGATACTACCAGACCGAAATAAAAATGTTCACTAGACAAATACAAACACATTATAAACAAAATCCTACAGAGAATAACTAGAATTATGATACACAAACACACAAGAATTATACACATGAGCACTACCTGATAAGACAAATACACGTGAAGTCTATTTAAGCAATGAAAAACAAGCAACACAAAAATAAAAAATACCAGAATTTTCTTTTCTCCTCCAATCACCATAGAGAACCTTTTCTGCCTGCCATCAGCATGGCTGACACTAGACTCCAAGAGAGCAACACACTGCACCCTCTTAGCTTCAGGTTTTCTACTAACTTGAAGTTGAGCAACCATATTGAATCAATAGCTGCATCTACTGCAAGGAAGTTGGGTCACTGTGTGGTGCCAGAAATTTTTCTCATCAGAATCCATCTTGCACATTTACAAATCTACCATTCATCCATGCATTGAATACTGCTGCCATATGTGGTCCTGTGCTCCTGCTGTACATCTTAAGATTCTTGACAAAATCCGAAGAAGGATCTGTAATGTGATTGATCCCGACCAGGCATCTCAATTTCAGTCACTTTCTTACCATGATGTGAGTTCCTTCTGTCTTTTCTTTAAATATATTCATGGCCACTATTCTGATGAGCTTTTTACCCTAGTGCCCCAACTATGTGAATTTAAGTGTGCTACTAGATTGACATCTAGGTTCCACTGTTTTACTGTTGAAATAGCTAAATGCAACTGCCTCTTCTTCTCCAGTAGATACTTTTCTTGTGTTTCACACTTGTGGAACTGCCTTCCATTTCCTCGCTTCCTTGATAAATACAATCTTCAAAAATTTAAATCCAACATCAATCACCATCTTCTATCTTATTGAATCTCCTTTTGTCTTTTCCTCAACCCTCCATATCCTTCTCTTTCATTTTCACTCCCTGCAATCCCCCTGTATAATAGTGTCATTTCCACCTTGCCTGTTGTGAAATGATTGAAAAAGGAAACATTTAATTTTCTGATGAAGTGAAACATGTTACATTTATGTTTCATATTTGTCCCTTTTCTTTCTTTCCTTATATATATATATATATATATATATATATATATATATATATATGGATTTTCCAATGACTCATTGCCTTTCACCACAAAACCGAATAAACAATGCTATATTGTATTTAAATCGACACACATTTTTGTGCATAATCTGTCAAAATGATTGTTTTTTTATAGTTTAGCTACCCTTTGCACGTTATTTAAAGCCAGAAAATATTTTTAGATTGTAAGGATTTTTTTTTTTTTATTAATACAAGTCTTAGTAATTATCCCATAGCTGGGAGAAAAGAGATGGATTTTCCAAGGTTATTTGCACATAAGTGAATATAATGGACCCAACAAAAATTGAAACTCAGTTCTTCAATTAAACAATTCCAAGCCATTATCTATTACACCACCTGCATATTCAGGCTTAGAGCACCTGGTATTTTCAAGCTGTTACCCATCTAGATACTGACCAGGCTCAATGTTGCTTAACTTAGTTAATCATGCAGGAACTGGTGTTTCAATGTGATATGGCCATAAGCCTTAATCTGTCAAAAGGGTTAGAATTAAGTATTAGGTTGTCATGAGTAATTTTTGTTTCTAACACAATGTTTGTTTCTTAATACTCTGCTTAACTTTTGGAAAGCATTTTTCGGTATCCCAAGGCACCTTTCCATTCTCTGTTTTAACACTTTCCAAATAACAAAAATTAAAAAATGTTCATCAGTTGATGTTATTAAAATTTGTTTTTTTTTTTGTTTTTTAAAGTTTCTTTCATAACTCAAATCAAATTTAATTCAAATTTAGTTTGAGAATGAATTATATTAAAAATCACAAGAGAATTCCTTAAAGGATATCCACAATCACAATATATAAGTATGGATCAGTTAGTCTATAACATGTAATTATTAGCTGAATTTTGATCTGAAATGTTCACTGTATAATGTTTTATCTATATGATTAATATTCACCACTGAATTAAGTGCTTTGACAAGTAATGGAAGCTTTTTCTGTTTTAGATGATGGATTTATTGATTTACCTCCATAGTTTTCTTAATTTAATTCCTGTATGTTCACGTGTTACACTTGCCCATCTCTATCAAGAAATAAGCAAGAAATCAAAGTGTTATTTTCTTTAATCTCTCTTCCATATCCACCCTCATTTCCGGAATGTTCAACCATCTGAACAAAACATTTGAGTTAGTGTGTGATCTACAGTGATTAAATTATTTCACCTAAGTCAAAGTTAGCAAAATTGTAAAGGTATTATTGTGTACTAAAATATATGAATTATATTACAGACTACCCACAGTATACTTTAGTTCTTCAAAATGCCTATCCTTTTTGTATTGTGAAGATTTTTCTCTTCCTTATATAGTTTTTCAAGTGTGTTGATAAGGTGAAAGATTATTTTAACTTTCTTTTTATGGGGGAGGTGTCTTCCTCTTTTATTTTTTTTTTTTTTTGTGGTTTGTGGCCAATATGTCTTATTATATTTTCCTCTTAGGATTTTATTAAAATAATTTTTTTTTTCTTTTTCAATAAAAATGATTTTTGTTTCCCTACCAAAATTTTCTAATTGGTCAAAAAAATATTAAAACATTTTGAAAGAAGGATCAAGTTAAATTTGAGCAGGACCAATTATGTCTCATTAAAGTTTTAAAAAATGCTAAAACCTAAAATAATTTTCAGTCTTCAATATTATAAGAGTAACAAGGCATAATCCCTCTCAACACTTGAAAATTTTGATAAAGTGAAGACCTGTTTCTTTTATCTGATTAGAATATTTTATGGTAAAGAGAGGAATTAATAAATTAGCATGTTATTCTGTTGCATTTAAATTTCATATATACAAAAAAAATATCTCTGAATTTCTGTGATGAGGAGTTATTATTATTTACGTTGTAGATGATTGTCTCCATCTTTTTTGTTATTATCACCTGATCACCTTCTGTCTGAATTTCTAGGAAGAGGAGTTATCATTGTTTACATACAAACTATTATCCACATCTTTGTTCTTATCACTTGATTTCTTTGTTTTAATTTCTGTGATGAGGAGTTATCATTATTTACATTATTTACTTTACTGATGATTATCCTCATCATTGTTGTTCTCATCAGCTGACCGCCTTCTGTCTGAATTTCTGGGATGAAGAATTATCATTATTTACATTTTGGACAATTGTACTCATCTTTGTTGTTGTTTTCACCTGATTACCATCTGTCTGAATTTTTAAGATGAGGAGTTATTATTTACATTATTTATATGAGGATTGTTGTCCCTATCTTTGTTGTTATCACATTTTAGCCATTGTGCTGCCTGGCATTCATCAGATAACTTACAGGGACTTCTCAACTGAACCCTTTATTTAATCTATGAGTGTAGATTGTTCTCATTCCACTGCCCATATCTATGGATCTCTCATCTAGTTTTAATACTGCCCAGTTATTGCTTACCCTGTTTCCACGAGCCCAAGTACTCACTACTCAGCACAGGGGTTGAACTTGCAATTACTATGTCACCAAATTCACAAACTAATACTTTAATCCACTAGGCTATTGTCCTGTGGATGATACTGGATCAACATACACTTAATGAATACCAGAAGGTACAATGGCAGAATGATGTGATAACAGCTAAAAAGATAGAGACAATAGTCTGCATGTAAATAACGAAAGAAAATAATTTAAAAATGTTTCTCTATTTGGTGCAGTAACATTTTACCCTGAAATTTCTTAAGGTCTGAGATGAATTAATTGTAAATAGGGTTTAT